ATAGGTTAGATCTAAAATTAATTTTATATATTAGTTTATCAGTCGCATTTGCCACATAAGCCCTTTCTCCGTGGTCACATTCAATGCAGTTGCCATCGGTGATTTATCCGATATGTTATACTCTTCGGATAGGCATAACCTCAAAATTATATTTAATAATTGTAACCATTATGTCTAAGACAAACTACAGATAGACTTTCGCATCATAAGTTTGACACCAACAATCTTATAGTTGAGGTATTTATATCATGAGGAAAGAGTAAGAGAGGGGATATTTTCTCTATTTCCCCTTCTCTCTAGAACTTTTCCATCTTCAACTTAGAACAATCTTCTCTCTCACTCTATGTTTTTCCTCTCCTCTCTCATAGAGAATCATCAGCTAACGGTAGTTCTTGCAATAGCTACGACTCTGTGCTTAAATCAGAAGGAATGAACTGTCAATGATCGAGGCAACCCATTTATTACTATCAACAATTGATTTGATGAACGTTAAACACTTCTAACCTAAAAGAACCAATCTAGATGAATTCCTAAAAAGCAAAACAACTACTCTTGCCTTCGATATTCATCTGAAAGCATTTTCAGATCTGACATCCAGTCTCCTGGAGGGATAATAAATTATGATCATATAAGGAGCCTGACCCTCGCGATCCTCCAAAAAGAGATCACACTAGTGAAATGTGATGTCAATATGAACGACTGTCAAAAGGCTAAGACATGCAGAGGATTGGAAGATTAGTAATGGGGACTTAGATTCCTTTCAAGTCCTTGATAAGTCAGCTGATGCCATTGGTAGTTTCAAGTTGTATTAATAATTTCACTGTCAAGATATATTGGTGGACGGTGGAAGCGCGATAGGGGAGGTACAATGAAAAGCTTTTCAGAAAATGGAAGGGTCACAAGAATAGCCGAAGTCTTATAGACTCATTTATGGTTTTTTAAATCATCTAGTGGAGTTAAAGTGTAACACCACGAAGTCGGGGCTAAATTTTTCTGAAAATAAATATGGATTAAATTGTAATTTTATTAAAAGTTTGAATCAAATTTATCATATGAAGAAAGTCCGAGGAACTAAAGCTTAATTTGACCATTTCTCAGGTTAAGTTGATTTTAAACTCTCGCGTATTTGGAAAACACATGTTCACCTTCCCCAATTTAGTAATCTCACGTTCTCTCTCCTCTTTCTTTCAAATTTTATTTTTTCTCTCTTCAAGAAAGCTTTTAACGTCGATTTATCACTGTTCAATAGTATGTGAATGATGCCGTCGGCACCGTTGTGTTCCTCATCATTTTTTGAGTCAACCGATATCCTCAAATTTGACGTCATCATCAGAGTGAAGATGGGTGAGAAGAACGAAGTTTTCGCCCGTTCATGAGACGAGTCTCTGTTGTTCTCCATCGCGAAACAACATCAGTAAGAGATTCCTCGTCCTTTAAAATTCATTTTTGGAAACATTGATGAAATTTGGACCACCATACGCGCCCCACGCGTCGCCCCTGCTCGTGGGGATTGTCTGGCAGCCATGAGGCTTCTAGAATCGGCTTGAATCGGTTCAAACCGCTTTAATTGAAAACATAGACTAAAATATAAAAGTTATAAAAATATTGACTAAAAACATACATCCAATTCTTGCTATTTTTTTAATTATAGATTATTTTATTATTATTTAAATATTTTATAAGTTTTTAGATTTTTTAATTGTATGATGTAATTATAAAATAATATTTGTTCATAATTTTTTAATTAATTGACAATAAATATATACTCTTCCAATGTAATTGTTGGAATTTAATTTTTTTAGAGAAAATAATATTACATTTATAACTTAAATCAATTGATGGTTCATAATATATTTTTAATTTCTTTGAAAACAAATGTTATATTAACATCAAGGACACGTGACTTATTATACGGGTTGTCAAGCAAGGACACAAAGTTTATTTTGTCCAAATTTTGTTGTGTCTAGAGATTTGCGTCTTTGATACTTAAATTTTCAGCCAACCAATTCCCAATGATTAATTTAAAATTCACAAAACCTAGAACCTAGATAAATGATCATGTAGCAGTCTTAATATACGATTAAAAAAGTGTTATTGATTTTGTTATTATTTAAATAATAAAATCGGTAAAAAATTACCAGAAATATTATTATTTTTATTGATTTTGTTATTATTGGACGTTTTACCGATTTTGTTAATAAAACCAGTAAAATGTTATAGGTTTTATTTTTTTTTTCTACCGGTTTTATTATTGTTGGGTACTTTACCGGAAATGTTAAAAAATATGAATGTTTTAGATATAAATAATAATGTTTTAGGTAATTTTTTACCTGTTTTGTTATTTAGATAATAACAAAACCGGTAACATTTTTTTTAGTTGTATATTAAAGGCGCCGAACTGTAGAACTTCCCTAGAACCTACGCCTACCCTTCATGGTAGTTCCGCTGTGTCGCAATCTAATTTAAAAATAATTTAAAACGGTTTTAACTTATAATATTATCATGTTTAATTTAAAATGTTATAAAATTTATAATATTCTCAATTAAAGTTGAAAAGTTACATTGCATGGTAGAGTTTACTATCGAAAATGTTATAAAAAATGTAATATTTCTATTGCAATCTAATTAACCTAAAATATTATCATGTCGAATATAAAATACTACACTTTAAATAAAAATTTTAATTACAACTTATTTTTATTATTTCTTAACCTTATATTAACAAGTTATATTTTAAAATCTCATACCCTAAGGCTCTTTAGTCGAACAACTTAATTAATTACCCATACTCCACCACCTACCACCCTTCATTTTCTTGTGGAATTTATACGAGAATTTTGGAGAATCAAGGTTATGATACATATATATTGTACATAAACAGTTGTTGGAATTCGGGTTTTTAAAGAAGTATAATATCTTTTTATTATTATGATTACTCAATAAATTTATAAAAGCCAAAATTAAATATACTTACACGTTCGGCATCTTATAGTTTGAAGACAAATTGAAATTTGAATAATTAAAACATGGTATTAAAATTTTATATTAAAATGATTTAATATAGTATTTTGATCTAAGACCAGTAATTCAAAATTTAGTAAATTAAAAAAGAAGAAAGAAACACAACATTAATCACGGGTGTACAAGAAAAGCATAGCAGAAACAAAAGGTTCAAGTATTGACATGTGCTTTACTTCACCAACCCATTACGAGGATCCAATCTCGTATTTAGGGTCGTTTTAATCAGATCTTATGTTTGGAATAAGTTCTCACAGCTTCTTAGGATATTTGATACTTAAATACTATGGTTGGATAAGAATTCATAACTTTTTAAGATATTTAGTGTTTAAACTATACGAGTCAGATTAGTCGATCCGAATTAGGTTAATAAATTAGACTTATTTTGAGTTTTTATAGTATTTAATCTAGATTAGTTAATCAATAGATAATATACTGGTAATTAAATAAAATATGTTAGTTCTCTTAATTTCCCCCCGAAAATGATGGTAATGTTTGACTGAATATTCATTTTGATCTTTATTTTCCTTTAAACACTTTAGGTCTTAACATTTCATTTTGGATTAATGCATCCCCTATAAAAATGAAAACCTACATTTTCAAACAAATGTTTTTTATGTGATAGTGCCACGTGTGCAAAATATATTAATTATTTTATTCTTTATTTAATAGTTTTGTCATCCAATTATTCTAAACAAAATAAAATATATATGTTGTTGAGAGGACTCAAACCCAAAATGTTGGGAAGGAGATATCGCCCCTAGATAACCAGGCAGAGTGATTTACTGGTATATTGACGAAATTTTAACTGATAGAGTTAACGACACGTTAATGGAATGACCAAAATAAAATGATTGTGATAGTTTAAGGATTAATATAGAATGTTTTAAAGTTTAGAGATTAATTTAAAATATATGATATAATTTAAGGATTAACATAAAATATTTCAAAAGTTAAAGATTAATTTTTATTTTATAGAAACTGCTAGTTTTATTAAAAATAGAAAATATCCAAATTATAATAAAAGTTTGCAACTACAACCGTGAACTAAACATATAATGAAATTTTCCTATAATTATTAATACAAGAAACTAGTCACTTAAGATCACGTAACGACTATGTAAGAAAAATGTTAAAAAAAACTAATCAAATTAAGTGGAACAAAAGATAGATATGAACATATCTGGCTGTATCAGTAAATGAACCATAAAAGATGATCAAACTATTGAAACTTAAAAGTTCATCTACAAATCACAAATCAGAGTCAAACGACGTGAAAAAATTATCTACGAATGTAACTTGCATATCCAAATTCAATTATAAGATCCAAAGCAGGGAATATCAGTATGATAATAAATAAGTGTCATATTAGTCAGTCTTGGCGATGTCAAATCTAACCATGAGAAAAAGGATAAACGAAAACAACAACCAAACGAACTAAAATATATCAAAAGACAGATGAAAACATGTCATAATGTCAAAGTTATTAAAAATTAAAAACAAGAAAAAAACTAATAATGATTAAGAAAAAAAAGAGAGATATAGAGCACCAAGGAATTTTTTTTATCAAAATATTTTTTATTTAAAAATTAAATTTTAAAAAATCTTAATTTAAAAATATTATACATAATTATATATGTATAATTTAAAAAACTTGATTGACCAATCACCATATAAATCGACGTTTTCCTACTCATTTCATATACAATACGCCAAAGAGTTGATGAAGTATTTGATAAAATAAAATAATTATTTATTGTCTCTATAAATCACCTTCCTCCAGGTTAACATAAACTAAAACTCATTACAAATGCTGTGTGTCTATTATTTCATTATATGATTTAACATGTACTTAAATAGATAATATAAATTCAGTTTAGTACTTATTATTTACAATAGGTTCGGAACAAATATAAATATTTATTATTTATTATCTGAATTCATTTTATTCTTACATAGAATAAACAAATTACTAATGAATATACATTAATAATTTATATATATCTTGCATCTTGAACAGATCCCTTAGTGAGGAAGAGTGGGGATACTTTGTTCATTCCTAAAGAAGTTACTTGGATCAACCTTAGTCTTAATTTGGACCAACCTGTTGAAATTGGCCTTAAAATACTTTATCCCATAAACCCTCCCTTCAACATAGCTTAGTCTCCCATTGTGATTGACACCCAAATCAATGTCCCTATAATTTAGGAATGCCTCCCTAGGGTTCTTGGACACAAAAGGAGTCATGTACCCATAGAGCTTCCTAGTCAACCCTACGTAAAGATTTGATGCTTCAAGTCCACCTTGGTTCCAATTTGTGACATATTGAATCTTCCACAAGTTTCCAGCTCTATGAGGGAATGGTGTTGCTGTGGATGCAATTTCACCCATTTTCCCACCATATGGATTGAATATCAATTGGGGCACTTGTAGTTCAATCATTCTTTGCCATATCCACTCCAAGCCGGCCCGAGGGACCGGTTCTTTCACGTAATCGGATTTCCGCTTGAGATAAACTAACGAAGGGGTTCGATTCAACAAGACATCGGTCGGTGAATCGATTGCGAGGTTGGTCCAGAAAAGGACTGATCGTATCCAGCTTGTTTCGATGCAATCTGATTGGGACAAACCGAGTAAGGGGATGTTTTCGTTCATTATGGAAATAAGTCTCTTGGAGTCTCCGAGGTACAACGAAAGGAATGCGACTCTTACGGTCTTTTTGTCGGCTTGAGTGCTACTATTTACGACGTCAATGACGAGACGGATGAAGAGTTCGTCAGGGAGCGTAGCTGCAACATGTTGCCATTGATAAACGATGTCCGTTGCGTTGTCTTCGAGGGTTTTTTCGACACGAAAGACTGTGACGGTTTCCGGTACGCGAACCAAGTTGATTTTGTATGCAAGTACAACACCAAAGCTTGCTGCTCCACCACCTCTTATGGCCCAAAAGATATCTTCACCCATCGATTTTCTATCATGGAGTCTTCCGTTGACATCGATGAAGTAAGCATCAATGATATTATCGACGGTGAGACCGAATTTCCTCATCATATTACCATATCCACCGCCACCAAAGTGACCACCTACACCAACTGTGGGACAAACACCACCAGGGAATCCATGTACATTGCTCTTCTCAGAGATTCTATGGTAAAGCTCACCAAGTGTTGCACCACTCTGAACCCATGCCGTCTCAGTTGATACATCGACATCAATATCTCGTAAATTGAACATGTCGAGGACGAAGAAAGGAACGGAAGCCACATACGATAAGCCTTCATAGTCATGGCCACCGCTTCGGATTTTCATCTGAATGCTGTCCTTTTTGGCACAAACAATGGCGGCTTGGATATGCGATTGATGCAATGCGGTGACGATAAGAAACGGTTTCGGGGTGAAGGTCTCATTGAATCGAAGATTTCGAATCGACGACTGCAGAACGGAGGAATACGAAGGGTTCTGAGGAGTGAAGATGGCTTCGGAGATGGGATGTGAAGGATGAGAATTGTCTAAAAGACATTGAACGAAGGTTTCATCCATGGCTGAAGCTGCCATGGACGAAAGAAGTAAAAGAGCAGAAAGCATATGAACTACAACACTAGGCCTTGAAATTCCCATTTTTTGGTTTCTTGAATTAGAATATGACTAGGTGACAAGATTTTGAAGGAATTTATAGGATTTTAGGTTCAGCCCATAATGCATTATATATAGATTATATATATATAAAGCAAAACCAAGACCGTATAATTTGACCTAGACAACTTCACCTGGTGGAAGATGGATTAGACCAGCTGTAACGTAAAAGATTTGGCCTTTGACATTCAGAATTATGCGAATGTCAACCGTGTTAGTGTGTTGGCGATGGCAGACATACATATATATATATATAAAGAAAAAGATTTGCATATATTAAACGTCATGCTATCGTTCTTTATCTCTATCACTTCTGCAATCTCCAAGGGACAGCCGTATTTAAAAATAATTTTGATTGATAATATAATTTTTTATGAAATGAACACAAATGAAATTTTAAGATGAACACAATCAACAAATAAATAATTGATAAAAAATTTAAATTTTAAAAATAATACGTGTTTATTGTGAATTAAAAGAGGATTCACCACTGCTAAGGGATGAAAAGTTAACCATATTGGGTTTCGGCTTAGGGTTTGAGAACGAAGAAAAAAATTTAAAAAGTACACGTGCAAAGCAATTAGCCACCCAAAGCAGGGTCAAACGGCTGCATGGCTATATGTACATGAAGAGCCAACAACTCTACTTTTGAACACCACCCATCGGGTCAAAAGCTAAAAGATATTCTTTTTGTAAATATCGAATGTACGAGTAGGACTAAAAATTGGATGGTTAAGATTTGAATCCTCTAAAAGTAAATATTTTTTCATTTTATTATTGGAAATCAGATTTAAATATCTAAATCTACAATATAAGTAACGCATATACATATAATAAATATCTACAAATTCCTATATATTAGGATGTTCATAACCGGATACTCGAAGTTATGACTAAAAAGTTATGTCCGTCACACTTAACGACAAAGTGACTTGATTCTTATAATCGATAAATAGAATGATATATTTTCAATTTCCTAAAATATGATAACCGAATTATAATCTTACTAATAATTAAGTGGCATATGGTTGTGATTTACCCTAGTAAATAAAGCAATAAAAAAGTACAGGTCCTTGAGTAGTGCACGCATGCAATTTATATATAAGATAAAGATTATTGACTAAATAGTCCATTTCCCTATTTTTTTAATAAATCAAAATTGTTTAATATATTTCTCAAAATAATTAAAAATATTTAATATAAATAAGTTCCAGTTTTCGACTAATTGAAGTTCCATCTTTTTTTCTAGAAAATCTAATTGTTATTTTATTTCATTATTAATTAAGTACTTTTCAAAACTCACAACTCGTTTCCTTCAAAGAAAAAGGGAAATTGTATTTTATCTTTTGCTTTGACGGAGAAAGTCAAAGATTTTTTGTGTATTTAGAAAGGGATAAAGGCACGTTTGGGTAATTTACAATTTATATAATTGTACTTAACCTTTATTTCATATAGATCATAAACTTTTAATTTAATTTAGTTTTTATTATTAATAAATTAAATCACCTTTATAAATATCGGTAAACTATTTTAATGAAAAATTAATTATAACTTTTTATTATATTTTTTAGATTTCATTATATATCAAAGATCATGTTAATATATATATTAGTAGTAGTAGAAGTAGGTGAAATTAAAAATCTTTTTCGTGATCATGCAGAATTGTACGTTGCTTGTCATAAATGATGAGAATTCCTTTCAACTTGGCCTTTCTTCTATATATGATATATACCTATTATACCGATAAAAAAATTCAATATTTTAATGGATAAAGTATATAAATGATCCCTGCTATAGTGTATTATTTGATTGAATTCTCTGATTATTAAAAATTACAAAATGATCTTCTTTCTATAGAATGATATTTTGTTGAGTACTTCAACTATTAAAAGTTACAAAATGGTAAATCCGACTATTAAAAGTTACAAAAGGCTTATTTAACTATTAGAAGTTATAAAATTGTCATCCGACTATTAAAATTGTTAACATGCTTACTAGAATATGATAAAATCATAGTTTAATTATGTCACCGATACCATTATTGCTTTTAAGCGTCAACTCAACAAAATAATGTTTTAAGCATTGGCTTGACTACATAATGTAAACGAAGAATCGATACACAAAATACAAATCAAACGACTCTAGTATGTGATTTATTTCATACCGCTCTCGCATTGATTTATTTTCCACTTATAAATTTCTAAATTAATATATTTGTACATATTTATTATTTCTAGACACGTGACATCAATTGATCGGCCATGTCAACAAAAATTTAGCGAAATTAAGTTTTTAGATTAATATATGTGATGATTTTAGAATTCAAGTATCAAGTGGGTAAATAAATGTCTAGCTACGAATCAGGTGCTTAAGACCAAATTCATGGGTCTATTTTTAAAGACGTGTAAAGTTTATTGATCGACTAATGGTGATATAAATTTCTAAATTAAATAAATTAAACTAACCTTAATTTTATTTACATTTTTTATATCTCTATCAATATTAAAATTAAAAGTTTAACTTTTAATAATTTATTTTATTACATCCTCGAATGCAAGATATTGGAGCAAGAGGGATCATCAAATGGATAGAGGTTAAATTATAAGTTAATATACTAATCGTGTAGTAAATACAAATTGTATCAAATGGATATTTACTATAAGATTAGTACACGAATGATCTCTCGATTATAAGGGCTATTTTGTTGAGTTCCCCGAATATTAAAAGTTACAAAATTATCCTCAACTATAGGACGTTACTTTATTTGAGTCATCCGACTATTACAAGTAATGGACTGGTCATTCGACTATTCATATATTCCAAACTAGTCTTTTTCCGTTAAAAAATTGATGACAGTCCGAGTTGGACGTTAACATGTTGACTAGAATATGATAAAATCTAATCTCATAATCTCAAATAATTATACAACTCAAATGCTTATGGGATCAGATTTTATAACATCTCTATCAATTGGTTAATGTCCAACTCAGATGACCGTCAAATTTTTAACGGAAAAAGATGAGCTTGTAACGTATGAATAGTCGTTGGCCATTTTAAGTCAAGGGACTCAACAAAGCAACACCCTATAGTCGAAGGATTATTTTATAACTTTTAATAGTTGAGAGACTTAACAAAGCAGTACACTATAATCATGGATCATTTGTATATTTTATCTATAAATTTATATAGAAATAATGAGGATGGTGAGGGTCCAGTCTCATTATAAAGTGACCCACTTCTCTCTAGGCCGGGCATTAGGCCCATTGACACCGTCACTATAAATTTATATACTAATCGTGTAGTAAGTACAATTGTAAAATTATAAATTAGTCCTTCTAGAATTTATTAAATGAAAGAGTTGTTATTTAATCCTAAAATTTATATGATAAATTAAAACACGATCGTGGAATAACTGTTTTATGCCATTCGAGAAAACATTGATGTATTAGGGACATGATTAAGTTGTTTAATTAAGCTTGCACATAGGGTTCATTCAAACCTTGGATATATTTTCTATCGATGCTAAATTTTTTATGTAGTCTGGATTGATTACGAGGTAATATTTGTTTAGAATTTTTTTAATCAATTGATAATGCTCACACATCCTATGACGCAACTGCTTGAACCCGAATCCTATATGGAGAATAACATTCATTTTTACTAATAAAGTCACTCAAAAATCATAATAGCGGTGTCTTTAGGTCAAACTGGATTGAAGCCTATTTTTTAAAAAAAAAAAACTAAGTCCAACTTGATCTATTTAAATTACACTTTTTTATTGGAAAATAATAAAATATTAAAAAATAATTTTATGTTAACTTTTATATATCTCCTTAAATCAATTTAAATAAAATAAATATTTTAAATAACTTAACTTATATTTAAATTTAACCAGATAAGCCAACCTAATTAATGGGTAAGTTTGGGTCAGAATTAAATTATAAAATTTTGAAAAGTAACATAATTTTACATTATATTAACTTGTAATTTTGTAGTTTTTAAAGAGAGTAAACTAAAATTTTACCATCTTTTAGGTCAAAATAAAATTTCACCATTATATTAACTTATATATTTGTCAATTTTACTATTTTGGGAGCCTAGTCTCCATGGTGTCAACCGATTTTAAATTAACCATTTACTATTTACAATTTTTTGGTGAAGGGGACAATTTTCTGGTCATCGTCAAATGCAACTGAATGTAATTTTTTTTAATTTATATAGAAAGATTAAAAAAAATAAAAGAGACAGCTGGCTATATGAATTAAGTAATTTCTTAATTTCTTGTGACAAAATAAGAATATTGGCTTGACCATAGTACTTCTGCATGTTACATCGTCACATGTTTAAATACAATAGTTGTATTTATTTTTAAATAAATAAAGGAAGGAATTCATTGACATGACGTTGAAACCACAAGTTTTATACCTTTCTACAACCTTTAGATCATAGTTATCTCAAGGGGTCATATTAAAATATTATTATATTTTAAAAGTAATATATTATTATATATAGAAGAAGAATCTACTTATATAAAAGAAATAGTTAGAAAATTTTAATTTATTCAAAATTTGATATATATTATCTATGAAAATAGAATATTAATTTACGGTTGGAATAAAATGAGTTGAACTTGCATATGAAAACAGTAAAACACAAAAATACTCCAAGTTTGAATAATTAGAATGACTCATATTCATGGTATTAAATTCAAATCGATAATCAAATTCTAGTGTTGTGAATGGAGGAAATTAGGTTGGAATGGTCGCTCCCATAATAGGTCTCTACAATACTTGATCTAGATTAATCGATCAATAGATTGAAAATCAGTTATTATACCCAAAAAAAACCCTATTTGTATAAAAATGGGAAAATTGAAGGGTTATTTCCAACAAACATCCTTAAATATGGTTTAAATTTTAAATTGGCCTCAAACTCTAAAACATTTTGATTCAGTCTTTAAATTATTGATATTATACCGACTTAGTTGTTAGTCTGGACATTAAATGCCAATTAACGTTGAGTGTATATAAAACATGTGGATCAAATTTTAAGCATGCGTACTTATTGTATGAACAACTTGTACTATAAATGTTAGGGGGCTTCCTCGCCCATGTAGGCGTTGGGAAAAAAATTCTCCATATAGGGTTCTACCCAAATTATTTCTTGAACTGGGATGTTTGTTATAGTGACCTCATTGGTCGCCAAGTGCTTCTTGCGACAAAGGCTCCTCTGTTACAGCAACTCTTCTCTCTTCCCTCGCTGTTGCAGCTCCATAGGTCGCCAAGTGACCTATGGTGGTCACTGTAGCAATCACCATACTTAAGCAAATAATTGTTCGACTGCATTATGTGAATAATTTTTTTTCCATTGCATTATTCAAACACTTTTGCCAATGTTAGGGTACATCTCAGAACCACGAATTTTGATCCAATATATAATATAATACATGAATTTTGATTTTATGTAATTGTACATATGAAATTTTGAATTGATTCAACCTTAAATAGTAGTTTAACTCATCGTCGACATTGTAACACCGAGGATTGATTTAAAACTTGAATTATAATTTGAGGACATGCCGGTGAAATTAACCCGTTTTTAACACCCATATCTGAATTTCTTATTAGTACTTGAGCTATATTCGATTTTCATATTAGTACTTGAGCTATATTCGATTTTCATATTAGTACTTAAACTATATCCGATTTTCATATTAGTACTTAAACTATATCCGATTTTCATATTGGAATGTGAGGCAAATGCTTTAAATTCCGTTGGTTATGGCAGAGTCTTTGAGGGAGTCGAAAGGAAAGAAAAGGTTGACGATCATTATAACTATTATATGCGTCGGAATATTTGCCATTGGCTTAGGCATTTGCTTCATCTTGCTTGCCTTGCGGAAGAAGAAAGGTAACTTCTCTAAACTATTAATATACTTTTTATGTCATCATTTTTTAAGAATCAATCTCCTATATCTTCTTCATATAAATATGAAGTGGACGGCTACTTAAAAGTTAATTTTTAAGTAAATTAATAACATATAATAAATATATTAAAATATGTGGTTTTCATTAATTAAGACTATAAATAATAAAACGAGAAGGGTTAATGAAATAATTTCTTCTGATCTACGAAGTATATGCTCTTTAAATTTGAATGTGTCAATTTGACTCCTTATTGTTTTTTTCCTAAAAATATTTGGGAGATTTACCTTAAGTCCTATGATAATCGACCTTAGTATAAATAGGATTGAAACGGTTAAATTATAAAAACTATATTGTAAATTATTTAATTATTAGTAAGATTATAATTTAACGATCGAATTCTAATTCAATGATAGAAATAATATTTTGGTGGTTGATCTTTCTCCGTGTCACTCGGTTAGTCTTTCTTTTTTCTCTCTTTTGAATAGTCTAGAGTAATTAGAATTTAGTATTTGTTCAGAATTTTTTTAGTTAATTAACAACGTATATATACTTTACAGACGTAATTACTCGAACTCGAATCCTCTAGATGGAATAACAATCTATCCCTTTTATAACAGTTAATTCCCAACATGATCCAGAGCAAGAAAACATCGATGAGGGAAGGAAAGCAGATTTGGAGGTACCATTATTTGATTTTGAGACGATATGTAAAGCCACGAGCAATTTCTCACTGCGAAATAAGCTCGGACAAGGCGGCTTTGGAGTAGTATACAAGGTATGTTTGTAAAATCCTACTCTCTTAAGGTTCGATAGATAAAATCTCGAGATTAAAATAACATACGACACCTCATAAGTACAATACGTAATATAGAAATTCACTCAACTTTTTTCAGGGAATATTGGAAAATGGACAGGAAATTGCTGTGAAGAGGCTTTCAAAGAGATCATGCCAAGGAGTTGTGGAGTTCAAGAATGAAGTGTTATGCATCTCCAAACTTCAGCACCGCAACCTAGTGAAGCTTTTAGGGTGTTGCATTGAGCCACATGAAAGAATAGTGACCTATGAGTTCATGCCTAACAAAAGCTTAGACTCCTTTATATTTGGTTAGATTATTTCATTTTCACCAAATTATTATCGAATAAAGTATATCATAAGTCACTCCAAATGATCATTTCAATCATTAAACTATTAAAAATTATAAAATGATCATTAAATTTATCGAATTGTTACAAAATAATCATTGCGAGGTTACAATAATTGTAAAATTTCGATAAATCTAGTGTCCGTTTTGTAACTTTTGAAAGTTTAATGACTAAAATGATTTTTTTGAGCATAGTTTAGTGACCCTCTAGCGTAATTTACCCGTTATTATTTTGAAATTGATTGAATGCAAGTAACATGAATATATAATGTGGCAGATGAAAAGCAAAGCGTATTACTAGATTAGCCTAAGAGGTTCCAAATTATCAATGGAATTGCAAGAGGTCTTCTTTACCTTCATCAAGATTCGAGACTCAGAATTATACACAGGGATTTAAAAGCTGTCAATGTACTACTCGATTATGAGATGAATCCAAAAATTTCTGATTTCGGTTTGGCTCGAAGTTTCGATGGAGATGAGACTGAAGCCAACACAAATAGAGTGGTTGGAACGTAGTAAGTATGGATGAATTTTTTTTCATAAACCATGTATGTTATGAATGTGATTTTTTTTAAATCGAATTGACGATCTTCTGCAGTGGTTATATGTCTCATGAGTATGCAATCGATGGATTATTTTCAATAAAATCCGATGTTTTTAGCTTTGGAGTTCTGGTGCTAGAGATAGTAACCGGGAGAAGGAACAGGGGATTCTCAGATCCAGACCATAAGCTCAACCTTGTTGGGCATGCAAGTGCTCGGACAATATTCTTCGGTCTAATTATGATCTTCATCCCTTTACTATGATGAAACTTGAAATTTAATCCACCCATTTTAAATTTGTTTAATAAAGATCCTTTGACGTTGTTCATCAGGCTTGGAGGCTTTTCAATGAAGGCAGTTCATTGGAATTGCTTGATGAAAAGACAAAGACATGTGAAATATCCGAAGTGTTGAGATCAATACATGTGGGCTTACTATGTGTACAACGTCGCCCGAAAGACCGGTCATGCATGGCGGCCGCGGTTCTAATGCTGAGTAGTGAGACTTCTTCATTACTTCGACCAAAAAAACCGGCCGTTGGTCCGGAAGGTCCCGTTGAGTTGCGAACTCGGAGAGGATTTTATCGAGTATCCGAGAATCAAGCTGCCGGACTCGCGACACGGTTGGTTCAACCGGACCATGGATTTGAAACAATGCAAGGATCGATGCTTGGGGAACTGCTCTTGCACTGCCAATGCAAATTTTGATGTTAGGGATGGTGGAAGTGGGTGCATACTTTGGTTTGGTGATCTCATTGACATTAGGGAGTTTGAACAAAATGGACAGACTATTTACGTTAGGATGGCTGCCTCCGAAATAGGTATCATATATCGTATTTTCTATTTACGTACTTACAATTTTTTTATCAAATTAGATACTTGAAGTATTTCATCTTTTTCATTTAAGTATTTAAAATTGACATATTATTCAAAAATATGTGAAAATAACATAAATCATTTACTAATATATCAATAACTAATTGACATTTACATATTATTATTTAATATATTTATGTATAGTTCTCATTTTTTAAATAATGAGGTGGCGCCGTTGATTTACAAAGTTATATAAACTAGTACACTTGGGACTTTTGTTTTCAATTACGTACAAGTGAGTACTTTGGGATAAGTAATTAAGAATTAGAATTGAACGAGTAATTTCAAATTTTATGAGATTAAAAAATGTATCAAGTCAATATATTTATAATTTTAATTACATCGATTGATAAGTAAACTATCCTAATTTTCATATTAGTACTTAAACTACATCAGATTTTCATATTAGTACTTAAGCTATATCCTATTTTTATATTAGTACTTAATGTATACCCGATTTTCATATTAGTACTTAAACCATAACTGAATTTCATATTAGTACTTAAGCTGTATTCGATTTTCATATTAGTACTTAAACTATATCCGATTTTCATATTAGTACTTAAACTATATCCGATTTTCATATTGGAATGTGTGGCAAATGCTTTAAATTCCGTTGGTTATGGCAGAGTCTTTGAGGGAGTCGAAAGGAAAGAAAAGGTTGACGATCATTATAACTGTTATATGCGTCGGAATATTTGCCATTGGCTTAAGCATTTGCTTCATCTTGCTTGCCTTGCGGAAGAAGAAAGGTAACTTCTCTAACCTATTAATATTTTTTTATGTCATCATTTTTTAAGAATCAATCTCCTTTATCTTCTTCATATAAATATGAAGTGGATGGTTACTTAAAAGTTAATTTTTAAGTAAATTAATAACATATAATAAATATATTAAAATATGTGATTTTCATTAATTAAATAATAAAATGAGAAGGGTTGATGAAATAATTTCTTCTAATCTGCGAAGTATACGCTCTTCAAATTTGAATGTGTCAATTTGATTCCTTATTGTTTTTCCCTAAAAATATTTGGGAGATTTACCTTAAGCCCTATGATAATCGACCTTAGTATAAATAGGATTGAAACGGTTAAATTATAAAATTTATATTGTAAATCATTTAATTATTAGTAAGATTATAATTTAACTATCGAAATCTAATTCAATGATACAAATATTTTTTTAGTGGTTGATCTTTCTCCATCTTACTCGGTTAGTCTTTTTTTTTCCTCTTTTGAATAGTCTGGAGTAATTAGAATTTAGTATTTGTTCAAAAAAATTTAGTTAATTAACAACGTATATATACTTTACAGACGTAATTACTCGAACTCGGATCCTCTAAATAGAATAACAGTCTATCCCTTTTATAACAGTTAATTCCCAACATGATCCAGAGCAAGAAAACATCGACGAGGGAAGGAAAGCAGATTTGGAGGTACCATTATTTGATTTTGAGACGATATGTAAAGCCACGAGCAATTTCTCACCGCGAAATAAGCTCGGACAAGGCGGCTTTGGAGTAGTATACAAGGTATGTTTGTAAAATCCTACTCTCTAAAGGTTCGATAGATAAAATCTCGAGATTAAAATAACATACGACACCTCATAAGTACAATACGTATTCGACTACGTAATATTGGAATTCACTCAACTTTTTTCAGGGAATATTGGAAAATGGACAGGAAATTGCTGTGAAGAGGCTTTCAAAGAGATCATGCCAAGGAGTTGTGGAGTTCAAGAATGAAGTGTTATGCATCTCCAAACTTCAGCACCGCAACCTAGTGAAACTTTTAGGGTGTTGCATTGAGCCACATGAAAGAATAGTGATATGTGAGTTCATGCCTAACAAAAGCTTAGACTCCTTTATATTTGGTTAGATTATTTCATTTTCACCAAATTATTATCGAATAAAGTATATCATAAGTCACTCCAAATGATCATTTCGATCATTAAACTATTAAAAATTATAAAATGATCATTAAATTTATCGAATTGTTACAAAATAATCATTGCGATGTTACAATAATTGTAAAAGTTCGATAAATTTAGTGTCCGTTTTGTAACTTTTGAAAGTTTAATGACTAAAATGATTTTTGATCATAGTTTAGTGACCCTCTAGCGTAATTTACCTGTTATTATTTTGAAATTGATTGAATGCAAGTAACATGAATATATAATGTGGCAGATGAAAAGCAAAGCATATTGCTAGACTGGCCTAAGAGGTTCCAAATTATCAATGGAATTGCTAGAGGTCTTCTTTACCTTCATCAAGATTCGAGACTCATAATTATACACAGGGATTTAAAAGCTGGCAATGTACTATTCGATTATGAGATGAATCTAAAAATTTCTGATTTCGGTTTGGCTCGAAGTTTCGATGGAGATGAGACCGAAGCCAACACAAATAGAGTGGTTGGAACGTAGTAAGTATGGATGAATTTTTTTCATAAACCATGTGTGTTATGAATGTGAATTTTTTTTAAATCGAATAGACGATATGTCTCCCGAGTATGCAATCGATGGATTATTTTCAATAAAATCCGATGTTTTCAGCTTTGGAGTTCTGATGCTAGAGATAGTAACCGGGAGAAGGAACAGGGGATTCTCAGATCCATACCATAAGCTCAACCTTGTCGGGCATGTAAGTGTTCGAACAATATTCTTCGGTGTAATTATGATCTTCATCCCTTTACTATGATGAAACTTGAAATTTAATCCACCCATTTTAATTTAAAAAAAAAAGATCCTTTGAAATTGTTCATCAGGCTTGGAGGCTTTTCAATGAAGGCAGGTCATTTGAATTGCTGGATGAAAAGACAAAGACATCATGTGAAATATCCGAAGTGTTGAGATCAATACATGTGGGCTTACTATGTGTACAACATCGCCCGAAAGACCGGTCATGCATGGCGGCCGCGGTTCTAATGCTGAGTAGTGAGACTTCTTCATTACTTCGACCAAAAAAACCAGGCTATTTTGCAGGCGGAGATGAAGATGATCCTTTTTCGACCAAATTCCCCTTTCCTTCTAATTCATTGACCATAACATTACCTAGATAGTAATTTTATGGAAAAAGGAACAAGTCTTAACTCGAATGATATTTCATGAAAATTGTGATTAAGATATAAGTAAGTGTAATTGTTTGGTTATATGATTTGAAAAGACTCAATTAATACTTCATGAAAGTTGTGATTTAGATACACGTAAATGAGTATAACTTGTGAACTTAAAATTATGTTATTTTTATGCATTTCAAGCGTACAATATTTCTTGTATCTCAATATAATTATCACACTTAAACTTTTCTCCATCAAATTTATTGAAATTTGACTTCTATTATTTAATTACTTTAATTAATTAAATATTTTTATAAGACTCGTATTTAAAACCATTATATTCAAAATTGTATAGTTAAAAGCTTAAACTAAAAATTATTAACCACTAAAAATAAAAATATGATGAATTTATTGAGACTAATGGAATTTCGTGTGTGTAGTAAATAGGCTTTCTAAGCATAAGAATATATAATTAAAAATTAAAATATCAAAGACTAAAATACTAAAGAGATTATATATGTATGGTCTAAGGTTGGAGAACTCAACCGACAGCAAGACATAAATGGTAAGAAGGCAAGGGTTTTTGAGAATTCAAAAAATGGAGTTCGTTTGGTTTCATGTTGTTTTGGCTCTTAGTTGGTGTACTTTTTGGAGATCTCAAAAAATGTTTTAAAAAAGGTAATAACGTGGCAGCTGACGAGGGGACGTCCTTTTGGTAACCGGCCCATCACACTCGTATCATGTCGCCTTCGCTTTAAATTTCTCTCCTTATTTCTTTTAATATTTGTGCATGTAATCATTATAATGATCTATATTTACAATTTATTATACTAATATATTAAACTATAAATTTAAATGAATTTTTGAATTTAAAATATATAACTCGTTTCAATAATAAAATAAAATATTATTATTTTCATAATTTTTGGATTCGAATAACTATGTTTGCAGAGTATATGTGCATTGCTAATATGTTAAGAAAGTTTTAAATATATATGGTCTATAATCTCTCCAGACTAAATTAAGAAAAAATGAAAAACATACATTTTATGACATTATATTATTAAATTGATATTAAAAATAATAATATTTTAATATATTTCTAACTATTCTTAATAAAAGTAATATTACTTAAAAATTATTTATTTAATTCTACTATCATATTTTAATATTAATTAAAAGTCATTTATTTAATTAGAGTCTATGTTGACATGTTCATAGTTCAATTGATTTGGTTTATAAATTAAGATAATTGTGGGGTTGTAAAAGTATATAATAATTAGAAGTTTTAAGCTCGACTATTGTGAATGATAATTTTTTTTAGGGTAAATTACATTCTAAACATGATAAAAAAATAGGGTACACTGCCTATTTTATCACTCATCTATTACTTAGTATTTATTTTGGTTATCTAATTATTAATTTTAGGGTAAACTACATATTTGATACTCGAATTATCATTTTTATTCCATTTTGGTCACTGAACTATCATTTGTTTCAAAATCATACATAACGTTTAGTTTTTGTATCATTCTGATCATTTGAGGTTAAAAAAATAATAATATTATTGACGTGTCATCGTAAGATAATATCATATCCTCATTGAATATTAACAGATTATTATTTAGGTCTTCCGGCTGTCATATGGCTAGCTTTGTTGCAGGTTTGTTATAAATGTACGGAGTGTATGGATTATTCTAGTAGGTGATTGTAAATCAGTTAAATATGGTAATGAGTAGATCACTTTTCATTTTTACGAGTATGCTAATTTACCAATTGAAAAATGAAAAATGTTATGTAAGTTGTACTATTAATATTTTAATAACGGGTGATAAAAATAAAATCAGATGTAATGTTAAGTATGATTTTGAAAAAAATTGAGTGACCAAAATAGAATAAAATTAATAGTTGAGATACTAAACTTGTAGTTTACCCATTTTTTAAAATCATACTTAATTTTACGACTTAGTCACCTGTCATTAAAATTTTTACAGTGATGCTGATGTGTCATCAAGATTATGTCATATTAACATTAAAAAAAATAAAAATATCACATTAATATCACTGTTAATTTTTTAAAGACATGTGACAAATAAAACTAAAATGTAACGTTAGATATGATTTTTAAAAAAACAATAGTTAGACAATCAAAACAGAAACTAAATAATAGATGAATGACCAAATATATAATTTGCATTAAAAAATATAGTCAAAACTTATCAAAATATCAAACTTCTATTAATTTTATATAATAATAAATTTAATTTTTAATATTTTTTTAATAAATTTAACTTTTTTTAAAGAGGAATCAATTCACCTAATTTTAAAATTAAGGACTCAAATGATCTTTTAACCAGAAATAAATAAAATATTTGCTTGGAATGATGGTGCACCAAAACATGAGAATGAAAAGGAGATTTGAGGTGGCAGTGTGTTGTCAAACTTGTCAGATGCAACTACTTCTCCCTTCATTTTGGACTTTATTAGATTCCTTACCAATTAATATTACTTAAAAAAAGACCCCATAAAATAGAGAAAATGACAATAAGATGTCAATTCAGTTTAGAAGTAGATGGAAGCAATTTCAAGCCTTAATTGAGATCAAAATACATACAATTTCATCAAAAAAATGGGTAAAAGAAAGTAAATAACTACAATTATTTGGTCTAACAGATTAAAACGTTAATTTTTTAAATAAGATTAAGAGTTCAGACATTGACGTTGTAAAAGAATAAATTGAATTGAAATAATTTTTTTCACAATAGATTTCGACGATATCGATTTAGGTTAATTGATCAATAAATAATTTATCGATAATTAAATTAAGGATTAATTATCAAATTTGATCATTGAAATAAATTTGAATCTCTTAATTCAACGTGGAAGCATGGAATTGGGAAAATAACCTATTCATGGCACACCACAAATGGCTCCAATTATTTGCTATTCTTATTAATTAATTAATTATGAATATAATTTATAGTTCTGACATTTGCTTTATTTTAATAGCTTTCAATATAATGATACCATTATTACCATAAATTAACCTGTTTTACGAGGTTTTGATTTAATGGTAGAAAGAAATTTGAGGAACTTTTAAGTTAGATTTAATTTTATTTTTTAATTTGAATTTAACTAATAATTATAATTATCATTTTTAGTGTATTTTGGATTTTAATTACATTTTTCCTGAAAATGTTAATTATTTATCTTTAAAATTTTTTAAAAAGGCAAAAAGATATCTTTGGAGTAGATATGAGAACTTTCTATTCACATTCTATACATTTCCTCCTAATTAATTTTTTAATAATCTGATATAGACTACAATATAATTTTTCTTAACCATTCACGACGTAAGTTCACCCTACATACGCAGTTATTCGAATATAGAACTCTAGGAAGAACTAGAGACGAAACTATGCTTCATACTAGTGTTATTGCCCTCTTTTTTATTATTAAAATAATTTATGAATAAATCCTAAATTAAAGCTCATAATTTTAATTTATTTTGATTCTCCCTTATTTTCTATGGTAATTATACTTTGCCCCCTTATTATTTTGTGGTAATTATATTTTGTCTTATTGAGTTAGAATCTGGCTCTCTTTGACGAGAATAATACTCTTCTTAACCATAAAAATTACTTAATGAATTTCATTTTCTCCTAATCCAATTATTGATTAAACACTTCTTTAAAATATAATATACGAATTAAAGTATATATTACCACAAGGGTTAGGTGTAATAGTAACATATATTATTATATTCTCAAGAAAATTATTTAAGTAGAAATAGGAATCATAACAAGTTAGGTTGAGTTAAATTTTTAGTTAATTTAATTTTGATTTGAATATTATATTTTTTTCAACAACTGATTCAATTTCAATTTAGAGAAATTTTACTTGACTAAAAACTTGATTCAAAATATAAGGTAAAAGCTCGTACTTGATCTAAATATATAAAAAAAATATTTTTATTCGATGAAATAGTGATTTAATTAAAAAAATAGAGAGAAATAAATTATAATAATGATTCTTATATATATTTCGAAAAATGAAAGATCATAAATGATCAAACTATACCAATAATTAGTTGATTTAGTAAGACGATACACTAGATTCCTTAAGAAATGTTGGGGGATCGAACCCTAGCGTTTACGAATGGAGAAAACTAGATTGGGAGGGTCGTCCTTGTTTCTACAATACTCGATATGAATTAATCGGTCAATAAATAAGATACCAATGATTAATTAAAAAAAACAAGAAATGATCAAATTATAATAAAAATATTACACATGTAAAAAATACATAACAGAGGGACCTTCTGAAAATTTTAACCAATTATTATAACGTATAAAAGTACACCTAAATACATAGACGACTTTACTCCAAAAGACTGGATTTTGTCTTGGATTCATAGCTTCATCCTGTTGGCACCTCTCATCACCACTGGACAGGGAGAAAATTCAGCCTATTCTTACTCATCTCTACAATTTTTTTTTTATTTTTTTATAAAAATTATGGAACTCTTATTCTTCTTCTTTTAATATTCAAACGTACGCGTATGACTCCTCTGTTTCGCTCTCACATCTTCAATCATCGTTGGTTTGTTTTTTTTAGTTTAATTTATTTTGCTTTTACTTTTATTTTATTTTAATAAAAAAAATTATTGGCTTGTACATTTGCATGTATTTATTATATATGTGATATTAGATCGTTTCTCAATTTCTTCATTTGATATTTTTTGGCCACCATCAACCCATGTTTATGTTCTTTGATTTCTATTTTCAGGTAAATTCCATTCATTTTTTTTGTTGTTCTTCCATTAAAGATGGGTTTCTTTTCTTCATTTATATTTTATGACGGCTTTGAATTCCCTTGCTCTTTTTGAGAACGATCGAACTCCGTTGATGGGTATTTTTCATTTCTTGTTTTTATGGGTCATTTGGGTTCCTTACTTTGTTTTCCTCTCTGGGTTTGTTTCTGATCAATAAAATTAGAATAAA